CGCCGTGTGCCTTGTTTGCGGACGACATGAAGATTTGGAGAGAAATCGACGCTCCAGATGACTGTGGCCTACTTCAGCAAGATCTCAACCGCATATCCACATGGTCTGCAGAAGTTCTTCTCCCGGTCAACCCAGCCAAGTCTGGATTTATGAGCCTGGGGAAGGGTGCTAACGGCCGAACCTACACTCTTGACGGCCAAACGCTATATCCCACACCCTCGTGATGGACCAATGTGTACTCTCACACTACGATTTGAAGTCCGTGGACAACACGAACAGGCTATATCGGAACGGACTACGCATGCTTTGGGCGCTCAAACGTAGCTTCTGCACATGGTCTGAAGAGGTTGCCACTCGCCTCTTCTCTTCTATCATTAGACCAATGCTAGAGTACGGTTTGCCCGCCTACTTTCCGATTACCCGAGGCGAGGCACAAAAGATCGAACGGGTCCAACACGTTGCTACCAGGCTCATCCCGAGTTTATGTGGCTTTGGGTATGAAGACCGGTGCGAGAAACTAGGACTCTACACCTTATCCTACCGTCGGGTGGGAGTCGACCTCATTATGACCTACCGTATTCTACATCTCGGTGACTTCCCCATGCTAAGGCCAATGCTGCACTTACGAGGGCCATGCAGCACACGCGGACACAGATACAAACTTGTCGTGTCGGATATGAAATGTGTTCCCCACCCACTGTGCTTCGAACGGAGAGTGGTAAACATTTGGAACAGTTTGCCCGAACATGTGATTGAGGCAACATCCGTGCAACAATTCAAAACGTCGTTAGATTTGTATTTTGCCTCTATTCGATCCAGAGAACGACTGCACACTTACGATGACATATCACATTTGTGAATGCTGAAATATCGTAAGTCGAATATTTTAAATATTACGTGAGAACGACAATGATATTCACGGTTGACAACTTTCATAACATTTTTCGCCATATTTCAAAAGAGTTGTACAGAATCCATTTCTACTTGCTCTATAATACAGTATTAGTATTCAGTATTCATTCTGATTGGCCAGTGCCCGTCACTGTAAATGGACGTTCGCTTTACGCTTGGAGTCCAATGATGCTATTTTTAAGGACGTATGTGATTCGCTCTTGAGTGCAGGGTTGCTTATTCGCTGTTGCATTTGACGTTTTTCTTTCTGTTGGTTGGCTCAAGTGTACTTTAGTAGCTACCCTTCAGTTTGCCTTCAAAACTATATAAGCAACTGTGATTTCATGTATACAAGTCTCCTTCTGGCTCGTCTTCGGACCTCTTCTTGCGGTCGTGGGATGAAGGCGTCAGCGGCGACACAACATCCCGTAAACACGATTTCTATGACTTCGTCAACAGCGAAGTTGAAGAAGAAAGGTGACAGCGGGCATCCTTGTCTCACACTGCCGGAGATATCAAAGGGCGACGACAACTTGCCGTAAGCCCTCACTCTGCCCGAGCTACGCGCATATAATGCTCGGATAATATTTACATATTTCTCAGGTACACCTTTCCCGAGTAGACAGCCCCAAAGTGCATGTCTATCCACCGAATCGAATGCACCTTTGATATCGAGGAACATGACAACGGTGGACCGTCAATATGTGTGACGGTGCTCCAACAACTGACGCAAGGTGAAGATGTGGTCAATGCAGCCACGACCCCGACGAAACCCGGCTTGTTCTTCACGAATCTGGCTTTCACCAGTGCCAGTCAGTCTGTGAAGAATGACAGAGGCAGGCAATTTGGAGGCGATGGAGATCAGACTGATTCCTCTATGGCTGCCGCATTCCGATCGTGAGCCTCCCTTGAAAATTGAGACTATGACGGAGTGGCTCCAGTCGGTTGGGACAGTTTCCTGCTCCCACAGTTTCACTAGCAACTCATGTAAATTATCCACAAAAGCAGGTCCCCCGAATTTGAAGAGGGCTGGAGGAAGACCATCAGGCCCCGCGGCTTTATTTAACTTTAACAGTTCGATCCCACGTTCGACTTCTGAGCGAGAGGGTGGATCCAAAGGGACAGCCCATGGAGCGGGGCGATCACTGGCCGGCGAGAAATCTAACCATTCCGACCGATTAAATTGCCTTCCAAAGTGCTCAGCCCAACGCTCCAAGCGTTTTGACAAGTTGTGAATAAGCTGTCCACTCTCATCACAAATTGTTTCACTAACACCAGGTCTTCTGCCGCCCGATTCCCGTATCAGCCGGAATAACTTACGATGGTTACCAAGGGCAGTGGCCATTTCCATCTCTGATGCACGATGAGAAAACCAGGATTCGCGGTCTCTCTTCAGGCTAGCACGGAGTTTTGCCCGGAGCTCTTTGCGAGTTTCATTGTGTTCGCTTCCAGCCGGAATATGCCGGCGAGCATCGATAAGTTCCGGAGACTGTGAAGAGACCCAATGTCCATGTTGGCGATTAGACATACCACATGAGGATTTGCCCGCTGCTGGTAAGGCCTGGTGAATATGAGACCAGTGAGCGTTTATCACACTCGCATGACAGCGTACTTTGATAGGCATTCAGAACAGCTGGCTTTGTCAGTTGGCTGGTGTCAATGCGCTCACAACGTCGTCGTGGGCGTCCGCCAAAGCGCATCCGCAGGTCAGCACATACAAGTGCATGGTCGGTGTCCACACTTGTGCTCCAAATCGAGCGACAGTTCTGGACGCAGCCTCTCCATCAGTAACTTATCTCAATGTGATCGATTTGCGTCCATAGCTAGTTCGAGGCTGGTGGTCGCCAAGTCACCTTCCGGCGGGTGCTGTGTCGGAAATTAGTGCTCGCAAGAAATAAGCGAGCATCCTCACACAAATGAAGTAACTGCTCACCGTTATCATTACGAAAGCCTACACCAGGTTGGCCGCCGAAAAGCAGCTTATTAGTGGACAACTATCCAACTTGTGCGTTCAGATTCCCGGCCAGCACTATAGTGTCCGAGCTTCTACTGTGATTAAGGAGCTGAGTCAGTTGGCGGTAGAAGTCGCCTTTTACCGAGTCATCATTACAGTTTGTCGGTGCATAGGCAGCGATAACGAGTAGACACCTGTTAGTCCCACGTGACTTCGAAGCTTTGAACGAGATAGCCAATCGGACCGTACACATCCGGCTACTGATTGGAATCCAATCAACCAGAGCAGCTTCAGTGCGGGGACTCAGGGCAATGCCAACACCAGCTTGGCCGGTGCTCGAAGCTGCATCGTCACCGGATAGGCGCAATGAGAAAATACTGCTTGCGTCACCTGAAGGGGATCGCAGAGTGAGCACAGAGCTCGAGTCTTGTAGGCGGATCTCCGATAAGTAGCAGATATCGGTCGAGAGGGTCTCCAATGTTCGGGCAAGTGCTGCTTGTTGACCGATCTGAAGCAATGTGCGAACGTTGAAGCATGCCAATCTGAAGGAGGATCGAGGGCTCCAAATGGAAGCCGATGAACTTGACTTGACCGCTTGCTTGAACATGGGCCTGTTGACGGGGCAGGAATGACGCTACATGTTCACATGTGAGTTGAAACTAAAAGACAAGCGACAATTGAAGCAAGGTGGGGGAGGGCCGAGAATTGGGGGGTTGAAAATAGGGGGGGGATGAAAGTGAAGCTGGACCGGGACGATAAGGGTAAAAAGCGTAAAAAGAGGAATAAGAAGACGGGAAGGCTTGAGAAGTAGCATCCAAACCCCTATCCATCCTGCCCGATGCAGCAGATAGGGCACCGTTGATTATCCTCTGCGATGGCCAGAGCATCAGAAATTTGTTTTAAGTGGAATTCATAGTATTGCGTGGGCAGGATACTGTCAGGTTGCCTAGGCCTAGACAGGAGAACGATTAGGGTTCTCAACCAAAGCCTTTGGTTCGAAAACCTGTCCGCAAGGCAGTGGGTTTGGCGGTGGGCTACAAGGAGTCCGTTTTAAGGAATAAGGAGCCACCCTCATTCCAACCCCCAACCTGGAGGAGGCGGATCTTGCATTAATCAGTATAAGTTAAAACGGGTTGTGCGAAAAAGGCTTTCTGTAAGCACCTCAGAGGATTAGAACTCAGAAGTGACAAGCAAAGTAGTCAGGCAAGAGGGTGATGGCATGTTCAGGCGTAAGGGCATTGGTCGCGCTCGTAAGCCCGGGCGGGTGGAGACGATTGATGTCCCAAAGATAGCTTGGATTTACCCGGTATTTAGTTAGTCGTATCATGTGGTTACACTGAAAGAAGAGTGGCTGTCTCTGCTGGGTGCGTCAGTAGTGGGTATGCGTGCGGAGCCATTCCCACTTCCGCTGAAAAAGGTTTAGGCGAAGTGGCGAATTGTGAGGGGCTGTATGGGTATGTCGTATGACGGGTAAGGTTGACAGGTTTCTAGTGTCTTTTCGATTTTCATTTCGTCGTCTATGGTTGTGGCAGACGGGAAACTCGGTTGAGTGTTCGTCGGACGTGCGCTTGACACATGAAAGCAAAGCCTGGCTGCACTTGATGATAATTGACAAGATGCCTACTTGTCTAATACCCTCCACCTCGATTATACTAGTTCCAGGAGACTGAATCGTTGCTGGGGGTGGAGAGGGGGTGCACCGTCCTGATGACGGTGTTCGATTCAAAGAGTGGTTCCACGCTGTGTGGAATAGGCTATGGCCCAGGCACCGCCTTGTGTAAGGAAGTGGGCCATCCGCTTGTGTCCAGATCAGCCAGTAAACGGCCCTACTACGATGGTTGTATGAGAACCTTAATGTATGCCCCGCTGTTTACACAGGCGCCCGTCGACACGGACAAACCCGAGGATACAATAAAGGCTCTCGGTCATGTAAGAAAAAATGATCGCACAATGATGTGGGTATTAGGTAGGTCTCCTATGTAGGTGAGTTCATAAGACCCATCAAAAGATTGGGCCACGCTGTCATAATGCCTACCGGGAGGGTTTGGAGTGCTTCTGAACTTGTCAAGAACTGAGGCCGCACCATTTAGACGAGGTTTTCAACATCTGTTTAGCTTACTGCTGCTACATCCCGCAGGGCAGCAGCTTGTGAGGGATGAGCCAAAGTTTGGCCATTCCAGCAGACCTTGCGGCCAACATGATGTACACCTGTGAAAAATCAGCCGTCATTGATCTAAAACCGAGGGGGATTTTGCTAGGTAAAGTGCACTATCATCACAATGATCAAGGCGACTTTCCAAGCGAAAATGCTGACCGCATGCGTTCAGACCAGACCGCCTACCGCTTTTCCCAAGGTAAGTATGAGGTAGGATTAGAAGCCTTTGGAGATGGGATACGTTACTTACAAACACTGCAGTCAACCGCATGAGACAATGTAAGTTCTCACCTGTCGGCCCGTAGCCTAGAGGTAACGAGCTTGTCTCGCAATCTTGCGGCGCGGATTCGAATCCGCGTACGGGTGGGTGTCTACGCGGTATACTCAGCCCGCGTGCGACTGGTGGTGGTCACATGGCAACGAAGCGCCGTTACAGCGTACACCTGACACATCACTACTAACGTATCACCTGCCGGTGGGAATTATCATTGCGACAAATGTGCTGCTCATGATCCGTTGAAGGACTGATTCAGTCGAGTGCAGATTTACTTCCACGCACTTAACGACTCAGGTTTGCAACGGAACGGATACTTGGAACTCGCAAAAAGGTTGCATAAATAACAAGGATATCCTGAAGCGATTACCCTGATGGTCCCGCTAAATCCTTAAATTCACCTGCGAGAGGCGTGATGGAGCCAGACAAGGATACCAAACCGATTGCATCACCCGCAGGGTCTGTAGAAAACGCTGGGATTCGGGTCTTAACTACACCTCTCAGCGTGTATGGCTTTACAGACCTAACCGAAGAGTCATAGTTAATCCCGCTCATAGTTGTTAATGCATTTGCTAAGATGATTGAATTGGTTAAACGGTTCCAGTTCCTCACCGCGAAAAGTCAGAATCAATAAGTGGCTGGCAGTAAAACAACATGTTGCACTTTGGAGAACCGAAGCACGCATCAAATGACGAAACCACTACATACATGGTTAACTGGGTAGTCCCGCGGATTTTGTCCACACAATCAAGGTCAAACAATTTTAAACGGTGTAGCATCTCAATGTTCACATGCAAAATGTAATAATGGAACACTCCATGATGGAACCCGAGACAATGTTGAGCAAAAATGAGGACATGTAACAAGCGTTGATTGTTGTCGGAAATGGGTACAACCACTCGGCACAGAATCTGACGCAACATGAGGTGAACGGATACACGTCAGGCGAAATGTCCATATACTTGATGCGAATGTCTTTCAGCGCAAGTAATTTATACAGAATGGATCGATCGACTGGGTCGGACGCACTCTTGAAATGGGGAAACACAACTGGTGTCTGTTCGTTGTTCCGATGACGCTGTTTTTACACTTGTCTCCAAGTAGTCTATCCAGCCACGCCCAGGAGGAAAACCTGTCTGCTCTTCCTTAATCAGGGATTCCTGTTCCGCAGCAAGACGACGGATGAGAACTGAAACCAGTAATTTTGTCATCAACGGGGTCACGCTGATACCCCTGCCGTTAGCAAAATCGGTGTGGCTTCCCTTTTTATACATTGCCACTATGATCGATTCACTCCAGTTAGCTGCGATGGTCTCTTTCCCGAGGTATGTTCGAACGGGCGAGTCAGCGCTTTGCATAGAATATCATCTCTATCCTTAAATCTTGTAGATTAGCAACTCAAAAAACGATTCAGGATAATGATCGCGTTTTGGACCTCAGCTTTCCATGGAACCTTTAAACCCGTAGGCCATGACTCAGCCTGTATCATCAGAGCAGGACGGAGCACGGGAGTCTGGAGCAAACTAAATTGTCATCGTAAGTGCTCAGCTCAAGGTGCCAGAGGGCCTTTTTATTGGGAACTTATGCACTGGTGATATTCGCGACACTCTCGCTGACACACAACTACCTGGGACTAGTGGCGCGGCTCAGTTAGAAGAGTGCACGGTAATTACGCGCAACAACGGTATCCGCCACTACTTTAGCGCATTTAGTCCACCAGACTCCCTTGTCAGCATGCAGGCTCCGTTTCAGCTCGTGCCTAAACTCCAGTCTGATCACAGTGTTAAGAGCTAACAGGGAGTTTCAGACACGTTCATAGACGCCTCGGATATATAGTGACCGGTGTGATGATGACTGATAATTCCACAAGCAGAGGTGTTAGCGTGTGTATGACGGCCGAGGTACTATTCCACTGGAGATCGATAGCTATGCAGTAGTTCGGTGAAAGCCTAGAATGAAGAGCACCTTGGTAGTTTTGTTTTCCTGGGGGCTGGTAGAATGTCTCATTTGCTCGTCGAGGGAAATGTTTGATACGCTTCCCGGCGAAGTTCATGGAAATACTGAATCAAGGCAAAGCACAGTCAGAATCTACGAAAGTGTTGTTTTGCTCGCCGGAAGTGTGGATGGACGAAGAGGAGGGGAGGCCAAGCTATGACTTGGTCGAAAGGAATAAAGTCCCTCAGTTCGAAGTTGGCGTCGCCGTTTCCCAATGCCCAGACTAGGGACCGAAAGATGATGAACAGGTTTGATTGGATACACAAGCTGGCATGGCGAAGAGTCGACCTCAGTGACTTGTGTTGTGAGTCTCTTTGTCCGTCCCTTCCACTTTACCTTCACCCTCCAGCAACTATCAAAAATGTGATATTAGCATTATGTTACTTTTATAAGTTTTAAGTATACCTTGTTTAACGTCTTAGTTTGCTGTATTGCGGCACAGTAGCTGAGGTGTGTCTGTCACCCTCAGCTAACGGGTATTGATTGATTGATTTTTTCTACGCAAATGCTTCATAAAGAGCCCCAGTCCAACGTGGAACCGCGACGTAGCAAACTTATGGTAATGTGACCCAATCGAATCCATCAACAGTCAGCTATCGGAAGACGCTGAGTAGCACTTCGGCGTCCTCTGTGCCCGAAGACCATACCGTTAAGAAACAGCTGGTGTTCGGTACTCAACTGCAACAAACACCTGTTATTGTCCATGCGTTCAGAGTAGAACAAACCTTACCACATACCTGAACTTCTAAGACGTTCCGTTGACTTATCAGCGCACTCATATCCACTGCTACAATAATGCTATCCGAACTAACATCGTTACAAAGCAACGTGTTGAGTTCGTGATAAAAATCGTCTTTGGTCGCTTCAGGGCTGCGGTTAGTGGGGGTACAATCGACAGCAACAAATAGGCAGCGTCTAGCACTAACTCGCGGATTAGCCTAAGTTGATGTTGTCAAACGGGCAGCACACAAACGGCAGTTCACGGAAATCCAATAAACTAACCATGACTCAGCATTGCAGCTGAGAACGGTGACCATCCCAGCTTGACCAGTGGTTGCTGCGTTAGCATCTCGGATGCGTGCAACCACTATAGAGAGGTCAGGCTGTGTGCGGTCTGCTCAACAACCGCGTGAAGGTCGCTGATTCTAGGTTCGAACACAGCACACGTAGACACACAACGTATTCAATATGCGCACAAGTGAAATGTGATAGCCAGAGAAACAGGGTAGAGTGACCAGGTAAAGGGGGTTGCTTGTGACGAGTGAGAAGGGCAGATCTGCGATGGTACGGCAATTGCCGTCAATTAAGCTGGGGATGGTAGAAGGAACATTAGAAATGATGGTTGATAGGGGATAAGAAAGAAGAGCGGCCCCAGCAGTGGTATGTTTGAGTTTATTCGCTCTGTAGTATGCAGCAGACAAAGCGACCGGATGGAAAAAGGCGTGAAGGCCGATGCAGGACGTAAATTAAAGCTGATGAGAAATTCGCTTATCCATGATTGTGCGTGGGCCAGCATATTGCAAAGTAGCGGGAAGATGGTAACAATACGAGTTTGCATAAATGAACGCCATCCCAACTCCGACCTAACCTGAAAGATCAGGTGAGAGAATTCGTTTGGTCTCTAACCAGTGATTGATAGAGAAGTAGTAACTATCAAGGAGCACAGAGAGACCACCCAATATAGCTCAATAGGTTGTAGAGGCATGCAAATTGCCGCATCCCGTTAAAAGCCAATCTCGTCACGACAGATAAAATAGCACCAAAACCAGTGGTAGGCAACCAGAGACGATTGTTTGTAAATTACTTAGATGGCCTAGTGTCACGTTACCACTAATATGGTCAGATACAACCTTACATGGGTTCAATAACATCTTCGTGAGGCGCGGTATTGCTATAGAAGAACCTATATCATTGCAGGGTAGATTACTTCATGAGGGAAACATAGTCCGTCATCCCAACGCGAAAGTTAAATCACACATTTGAGGAGAAGGAGGGCCTACCTCTTTCCGATTTAGCCTGTCACAACCGTATCGCAAATTAATCCGAGGGAGCGGAATACCCGTAGATGTGTTGAAAGCTGGAAGTAGTCTATTGGCCACATCGACGGCCATCTGTAGCAGTTCATCTGAATACCAAATCATACGTGAACGATTCGCCCTTTGAAGCTCCAAAGCAGATACATGAGCGCCCAACAAACCCCTGAAGCATGAAAAAGAACAAAGTTAAAAATCAAACGGAACAGTATGCCAGGATACTAAGTCATGCACTTATCAAATACGGTAGAGAGTAAGTAAAAACAGGCTAAACATGGCAACGACACAGGAAGGCATTTTAAAGTACCTTCAGAGGCACTCATAGTAGAGAGGTAAAGGTATCAGCAGTACACCGGTACGCAGTACTGACGCTTCGGTGCCACGAAATCACCAACAGTCGCGCGTGGGCTACGGATACTCCGAGGGTCCTCGGTCCCCAACGCAGAATCGAACCCACGGCATCGGATTCCGAAGCAGGCTTGTGATCCTTAAAGTACGATTCGCCATACCACACAAGTCAATGGATACGGGTCAAACTAACTAAGTCACGAAATCCAATCCCATTCGGAGGTTGGGGAGAGTTCGATAGGCCTTTTCCTTTACAAACTAACTATAGGAGACAACTGGTCTATGGGGTTATAAACTCCTGCTTCGATTGGCGTAGAGTACGAACGTCACCTATTGTCTTTGATGGTGGGAGAGCACCCTCCGGTACTCAATCGTTTGCTACCGCCCACATTAAGCCAGACAGTCCCTGGTCAAATTGGTGCAAAACCACCAACTCCTATCTGCGGTTGGCCGTGATCGTAGATGCGAAACAGAATACGGTCTTCAAACATGTATGCACTCTTCTAAATGTTCAAAAGTTGTGTGTAACAGGTCTCAAGCGAATCTCTA